CACTGTCCATACACACATTACATTCCCCTCTTTTATATACCAGCCTACCCTATCTAGCAAATACTAGAGCATTCGCCAAGATACGGGATAGTTCTAGAAACAAGAGGGCGTGAGAATTGTCACGTGATCTCGATGACGCAACACTTCTGACTGCAGATCAATTACTCACTATCTACACACACATTACATTCCCCTCTTTTATATACCAGCCTACCCTATCTAGCAATTACTAGAGCATTCGCCAAATTACAGGATAGTTCTAGAAACGTGGCGTCACGGTGGTCATGTGACTCGCTGACGCAACAATATGTTAAGTTCCTTATATTTAAATTGTCCGTTTCAGAAAGAAAGAAAACTGTTCCTTGTTTTTGAGGAATACAAACAATCAGAATGTCCTGTCCTCTACTCTTTACTTCTCAAATAACATCATTTCATGCAATAATGGCCAGATTTTATTTGTATTTTTAAATATTATTGCAGTTTTCTACACAATCTGTTAGTATTCAAAAAGTTAGGCCTAATGTATAAAAATTTCACGTCATACAACAATACAAAAACTTGCAAAAGCAACAACTATAATTTCAAAGCAAGATTAAAACTGTTGGTTGTACACTTCATTTTTATTACTTCAAACCAACTTATTTAAGGCAAGTAAATTAATATTTATAAAAAAAAATTAACTTAAATAACAGGCATACGCGTAAAAGGTGTAAACAAAACTTACACAAGTCAAGAATGTTTAAAATTGTTTTATATGAACATATAATACAAGAGTATTAACACCTAGAATACACCCCGTGATTTTTAGTTATTAATTTCAAATATCTCGAAGCATGTTGAATATGTCTTCTATAGGCGTGAGTCAGAGTAGTATTATAAACCACGTTAGATCGGGGGTAAAAATTTAGATTAGACAGAATACACTTTCTGCCCGGTTCGCTATGAATTTAAAACTGGGACAGTGTGACCCTCAATCTATAAACATTAAGCCATAGTGGCCCATTTTACATCAAGTTTGTTCTAATTCGTCAAAACAGTGCCAGCGAGATTTTGAAAATGTGCACTGCATAATAATTACTGCAATACTTTTGAAACTTGGTTACTTTTTAAGTTGTTTTTTTTTTTTTAAACAAAGACCTCGTCTCAAATTTTAAAATCCCGATATACATAGTTAATGAATTATATATATGATACTAAATCTATATTTCTTAGTGTGTAGGATAGTAGGACAAGTTTACTAGTTCAGCGAAGCTCGCTGGTTTAGTATGTGTTAGGTGGGAAGAGAACTTGACTTATTCAATTCACTAGTTTAGTATGTGTTAGGTGGGAAGAGAGCTTGACTTGTTCAACTCACTGGTTTAGTATGTGTGTTAGGTGGGAAGAGAGCTTGACTTATTCAACTCACTGGCTTAGTATGTGTGTTAGGTGGGAAGAGAGCTTGACTTATTCAACTCACTGGTTTAGTATGTGTGTTAGGTGGGAAGAGAGCTTGACTTATTCAACTCACTGGTTTAGTATGTGTGTTAGGTGGGAAGAGAGCTTGACTTATTCAACTCACTGGTTTAGTATGTGTGTTAGGTGGGAAGAGAGCTTGACTTATTCAACTCACTGGTTTAGTATGTGTGTTAGGTGGGAAGAGAGCTTACTCTTTCAGTTTTAACCAAGTTAGTAATATTCGTTGTACTTCTTCATAAAAGTCTAAAAATAAGTTGAAATGAAGCAATTGTAGTTGACCGTAATTAGATTTGAAATTCGCTTATTAACAGTAAAAGGTTGCCATTGAAAAATACCGTTGAAATGTATAACACTTTATTGAATTGAAAATTTCTACATCGCAGGACCAAGATAAAAAAAAAATCTCTGTATCAAACTTTATAAATCTCTAGTTTTATGAAAGTGGTTATATAAACAGGAAGGTTCCCAAAATACTAACTAACCGTAACACAGTTATGTGATAGAGATGTAAAAAGAAGAAAAAAAAAGGTGTTTGTCATTATTGTACGAAGGTTCTTCAAAATGGATCCCATTCTATTTAATTGTAATTCCACTCCACTGATACCTGTTGAACCGAATTTTTCATTTAAATCGAAATCACGTTGTTTAACCGATTTCTTCACTCGACTATAGCCTGGAGTCAATGTGTTTTATGTTGAATTACCTCTACCTGTTGTTGTTGTTTTTTTTTCTTAGTGCAAAACTACACAATAGGTTATCTGCATTCTGTACGTAGCAGGGAATCGAACCCTGAATTTTAACGTTGTAAGTCCGAAAACTTTTCGTTGACCAACAAAAGAACGATTCATTTTGAACCATTAAATTTTACATACCTATTTTGTCGAATGAGGGTATATTATCAATACGTTTTCATGTTGGATGTTACTCTGTGGTTTTATTATGATAAGTTGTCATTTAATGATTTGCTCTGATTGTATTGATAAGAAACACCTTTAGCAAAAAAAATATATATATATAATAAAACAATTTAAAAATCTTGGGAGTTTTTTTTAAAGAAAGTATCATTAGCATTAATTACCAATTTTCCATTTTACACAAATGGTGATTTAACTTCTCTTTTATTCTTTTCCTTCAATTTTTACTTAAAAGGTAACTTAATATTTTATTCATGGTTGTCTTTTATATTCTTCTTTTTTTTTTACTTAAAAGTTGATTTTGCATTCGTTTTACTTATAGCTATTTTTTGTTCTTCTCTTCCTTTTATTTTCGTTTTATGTGTGATTTTAACAGCCACCTTTTTGTTGCAAGTGCGTAGATTAATTTTCTTATCTACATGACATGATCATCTTAATTGCTTGTTACTATGTTATTTACAGCACTATTAAACGTCCACCCAGTGGGTCAGCGGCAAGTTTTGGAACTTACAACAGTAAAATCCAGGTCTCGATTCCCCGTGGTGGACATAGCGCAAATACCCTCCCTCCCCCCAAAAAAAACACTGTGTTTGTTTAAAATTTCCATCCATTTTGAACGATTCTCTTATTTAAATAGTAATAATAAATCTTTTTCACAAAGTGTCTGTTTTGAAAATAGCTTTTCTGGGATGAGATTTATAGACGTAGTATGCGTAACTTTGGCAAAACAAAGTGGAATAAACCCATTTTTTGTGTTTATATATGTTTTTGTCACCTGATTTTGTTGTCTGTTTGTTTTAATAAAACTTTTTTTTATTTTAGTGTCTCACGCCTTCAAAAATGATCAGAATCTTAGCAGCCAACCAGTCATCGGCTGTTACTACAAGTAGTGATCTTAAACGCCTTAGCGTTGTATTCATAAACCACGTGTTGACATTTCGGTCCGTGTGCACAACAATAAAAAGAACCAATGACGAAGAGTGCAAGAACACAGGAGCTTGTGCGACTAAGGTGTTGCATCGTCTTGTGGCAAAGGAAAGTTCACACAGGTTCGTAGGTATTGCAGAGAGGAAAATAACGCTTTTAGGAATACAAGATGTGCTCGGAGAAATCAAAGCGGTATACGAACCAAGACAACGGAAAACTGTGAGTTCACGTGTTCTCCAACTTACTCTTTGTTGATCTTCATAGAATGTTAATATATACACGTAAGCTGTGTAGGTCTACGAAAACGACATGAAAGTATACCCATCGTATTTGTACATATAGGTTTACACAAACAACCACTAGTTGTAGTATGTGACTTCAGAACAAATATTCTTGTGTGTTGCTTTTTTTTCTAGTCTGTAAATGTCTATAGGAAGACAAGCTTTTATTTTTACTTGTTTCTAAACGCTTGTATGTGTTTTGTTTATATAAAGTATATAAAAACTACAGTATAGTCATCCTTTGTTCAAACTCGAATGCTCCAAATCAGCTTTAAACAAGTGTGTAAATTCTTCACACGTTTGGGATCCATAAGATGTAATCTCATATCTCACTGTGTATTAAACTTATAAACAAAACAAAAAAACACTACATATTCCTTCCTTTTTACTTTCAGGTTATTTCTAAATTCCAACATTTCTTGAATTATAAAGCTAATAATCCTGCAGCTCATGTTTTCTGTTTTTACGTTTATATCCCGAGTATTAAATTCTTTAAATCCTGCTCTATTATTTACCTCATAATGTTCTGCGTGTAGTATATAACTGCTAACGATGGATATTGTACTACAGTATTTTTTCATGTTTTCTTTACAGTTGTAGGTTGTAGATACTATTTGCTCATTATTTTTTAAACTTCAAGGCAATAGTTTTCTATCATATGTAAAGACCTGTGACGTCAACTATTCAGTACAATTGTAATAGATCTTATATTTTCTAATTCTGCTTTAGCGATAGGATTAAGTAGGAATTAATATTCTATTTAATCGAAAATGACTTGCGAGGCATATATTCCACAGAATGTAGTAGTAGTCACCAAGTCGCGCGAACGTAATTGAAACTTGCTTTATTTTTTGTTACATAAGAACAGTTAGATCGCGTTATGTCTATCTTTTTCTTAGACCTTCTAATAGGTGGACCTGGTGCCTGGCATATCTTAGATACGGTTGAATCAAAAGCATTAACTTCTACACATAACTACTCATAATTACATTAAGGTTGGTGAATTATCTACTTATATGTAACATTCTAACATTATCGTTGTTCGTTAGAGACAAAGTTCATCGAACAACGTCTTCTGCTTTACTACCTTTACGTAATTATTAAAGATCCCATAGTGTTAGTTTTTTGTTTAAAACAACACCCGTCCAATGTATTGATTTAGTAATTCACCATTTGGCATAGAAATAAGTGAAAACTAGGTGGGATCGGGCATAGCCTAGAGGCTAGCAGGCCCGAACTGTGAATCCAAGGGTTCATGCCTCCGCCATGTTATTGCAAGTATGGTATTCGCATTTTGGGGCCGGGGTGTGCTATAAGAGTGACGGTCAAATCCCACTATTCGGTCAGAGAAGAGTAGCCCAAGATTTCGCGATTTTGACCAGCTGAATTACTTCAAGTTTATCAGTTCAAAATTAGGGACAGTTATATGCGAAAAACCTAAAATACTAACAAACTTTCTACCAGAAGAAACTATAAAATTACTTTACCAGGTGAAAGCACTTCTGCGCAAGTCAAAATAGCTAATGTATACGAGAGTTAGAAATGAACGATCTTTGCCACAAATCTCTAAGGTAGAAATAGTTATTTGAACGTTTTTCTTGGTATCAACGGTTTCAGTTGGTAAATATTGTGCGCTTTGAACCTGCGAGATAACTTGTTGATACGTTGTGCGCTTTACAGATCATTTCAAGGTTCGTGAAATGAAAAGACGCACATCCACAGGTTTTGTTGGGCACAGATTTTATCTGGTGAAGTGTTTTACCCATGATACCGTGAGAATGTTAAACAATACACCTACTTCGCTGATTACGGGACCGAATGTGTGTACACGTGTAGTCTTTGCCTTTCTAAGCGCAGCCACAGGTAGATATACCATTCATACATGCATGATTGTGTTTTTTTTTATCTCAAGAGAAAAACAACACCAACCACCTAGAATGAAGGTCTACAACATACGACAAAAAGCTAGTAAGATAACACGCTCTTCATCAAACATCATATATTTCAAATGTAAATACTAGTTATTTCGACACGTGTTTGTAAAGAATAAAAATATCATTCCGATTCAGTTTCCTAACTATAATTTATGGAACCACGAATCTTGGTGGAAGCGGGTATTCCTAATGATCATTGGTTATGCTGTTTATAATTGATGTATACTTAGATCATCCATACCCTTACTTAATTTCGTTTCAGAAGACTGTTACTCATGTTCCCCTGTGTTATATTAGATCTAATGATTATTGGTTATGCTGTTTATAATTGATGTATATTTAGATCATCCATACCCTTACGTAATCTCGTTTCAGAAGACAGTTACTCATGTTCCCCTGTGTTATATTAGATCTAATTTTGTTATTTCGTCAATTCTTTAGAGGAGTTTGATATCGTTTGTGGAGAATTCTTCGTTATTTAAAAACAACATAAAAATTACTTTTTTTAATCTATTGTTCCAGATATCATACTTTGATATATCTGATTATAAGGTTTAATTTCACTATGATCATAAGTTTCGTTTGTTTGTCTCCTTTTTCTCTTCTTGAATCTCGTTTCTCCGATAACATAAGGTTCTTGAATAATAAAATAAGCAGGCTTTATACTACTTAGCGTTTACTTGTTGATTTCAGGAGATACAAGTGTCATGTTGCTCCCCCGAACAGAAAATTGTTTCATGTTTCACTCGTGTTACGTATCAGAATTTCGAATAGTCCGAAGCCGAGTTAAATAATTTAAATTTAGTACTTTGGATTTAGTATTTAAATATATGCCGATATATTAGTCAATTTACGATATTTGCCAACAAGACTGATACACACCGTCTTCGTTTTTAACACAAGTACGTTTTAATATACACACAACAGTACAATTTACAATAACAATTATTACAAATAGTTATTACAAAGAATGATTCATAAATAAAAGTTTCACAAACTTGCAAACAATATAAAGATTTATTCATAGTTTGGAACTTCGATTCGCCGGGAAGCTAGCTTTGTCTCCTTGGCCACACACGATGTTTTCTACCATCGAAGTTGGTAATGTTTTCGTAAAATTACTAATGTCCGATGAGAATCCATTGAAGTTAAACGATTTGTAATGTTCGAAATTTATAAATATTCCTGATCGAATATCTTAAGTTTTCCGATTGATAAGCGTTCTAAAAATCACAATTATAGCTTTCGGAGTGTATAGTATGCTGATTATAGCGAACTAATAATAGACACTCTCTGGCGCGTGGCGTTAGTTATATTTATAGCGTGGGAACATTTTCTAGAAACTTCAATCTTACGTAACAATACTGGTTAAAGCGTTTACATACACACACATATTGTTAATTCTTACTCTCGAGAATCTTCTACAACTTTGGAGAACAGGCAGGAGTTACGCACAACATATCTAACACTACAAGCTCAACACTACTAAATATAAAC